AGGCAATTTCTCTCCACTTCTCAGAGTATAAAGAATGATAGCACCTGATAGGATGTATAAAGTTATTTAAAAAGGTTGAGTACTTATGAAAAGTGGTTGTTGAAAAGCAAAACGACAGATTGTACACAAAGAAACATGGCATAGATATACAAAACACTATAAAGCCATTCTGTTTAGATAGACAGCTGAGGAGGCCTTTGCTCGCTCCTTATTTGGGCCGACACTGTTAACTCTGACAGCCACAGTGTAAATGGTTTATTTTGCTGAAGGCAAAGTCATAAAACCATCCCTTTATCTAATATTCTTGTCAGAAAAAAAAACAAGAAAAAAAAAACACATTGTCAAACATGTCTGCAACAAAACAAAGGATATATTTGCTTTTAAACAGAAATCAGACAGTAAACCCTTAAAGTAATAGAGATGTCTGATAGCATCACCCCCTTCAATAAAGTCATGCTTGTTGGTTCCATGAGAATACCAACAACTATTTCCTTTTATGCTTGAGGGTGAGTGGGTGTGTGAGTGAGTGCGTGTCCAGATGTCTGCAGCCTGTGGGAATGAGAGCAGGACAGGAAATGATGTGAGATGTTCTCATGGAGAATGTGATGGCTCCACACCACACCGACCGCTCTCCACATTTCACACAAACACAAACATTGCGTCGCTAGGTCATGTGCATGCAAGAGACCAACACAGGACGTCTGAAACTGACACAAGTTAGAGCATGTGATTCCCATAACAGGACGTTCCTCATCACCAAACATCCATGTGACAAAAATCTTTTTATTTTATTTTATGCAGCTCCTGGACTCCACAAACTGAGAGTAAAGAGTTCAGAGAGAGCAGATAGTTTGCATGTAGGCTTTTGCTGATTTGTTTTTGCATTTGCATGCGAGTGAGTCATCAAATCTGGAACCTGAAGCGCCAACAGTATTTAAGCCACTTACTCTTATAAAGCAGCTCAGGACAGAGCCGTGGAGTAAGTTAAGGTCAGCCTGGACTTAGAGCTGCAAAGCACTGAGCAGAACAAAGTGCGTTGGATGATTTCGCTTTTAAACATCTTTATTCTAATAATATTTTTGCAGGTCCAGACCTCCTCTTAACATGCATTAATGTTAAACCAAATGCATTTGATCAAAAATTTCATTCATCCAACTGATCTGCACCAGCAAATTAGCCACAGATTCAATCTAATCATTTCTCCTTTGATATCATCTAATGGGAAAGTATCAGATTTCTTTGACCTATTTAGAAAAAGCAACAAAGCTTTTAACCATGTCAGATATATATCCACCTCAGCAAAGGAGTAAGTGTTTCTGATTAACTTCAATTGTTGTATTAAAATAAGATAAAGGTTGTGGGCATAAACTTTAATTCATAGATGGAAATAAGCTTAAACTCTGTTTTACTTCATTGCTTTCTACTACTTCTGCTGTCAAAGCACCTGCAGCACATTAATAGATCTGCTGTTCTTTTATCCTCAAGATAAAATAATTATTTTTGGTTAAAGTCAAAATCTTTATATTAGACCCTAAAGAAAACCTTAAGTCGATATCATCCAGAAATATAAAATCAGCCCATAACTAATGTGTACTGGTATATCAGAAACAGATTGCCTAAGGGTGGGTATTTTTGAACAGCATACTGTTGGAGTTTTTGCTCTAGATAAAAATTCTATAGAAAAGGGAGCGCTGCAGACAGATGGCTAACTTGGCTCTTTTCCACTTGACAGAAAACCAGGAGATTCTCCCCAAAGCCATCAGTTTTCTACAGAAACAGGTTTTACTTTCTAAATCTGCATGGCAGAGCTTCAACAGCTGCTCCCCCGATCAACAACGCTCATCTACTTATTTTATAGCTCTTCATATACTCATTATTATTTAGTGCTTTTCCAAGAAAGCTGAGTCACAGTGAAGTGAAGGGAGAGCCTCTGTTTTCCTAAAGATAATGACTGAGCTGCCAGAATAAGGAGCGATAATATGAGAAGATTAGCAGAGGCTTAATGCACACGCACACAAACAACGGGAGACGAACGCAGCTACCCTGAGCAGCATGGCGTAACTCGACCGGGAGTTTGAGGTTAAGGCTTCGCTGCCAGGGAGCAACGATCAACCATGTGGAGAAGACACCGAGTGGTCAGATGATAGTTTTTCTTCCTCTCTCCTGTTTCATCATTGCCAATAATAAGAACAGATGCAGACTTTGCCTATAGAAATATTTAAAGAATTAGGGCATTAGTAGTTAGGGCATAGAGTTTGGTATCCTGAGGTTCTGAGTTCGAGCTCCACTCCCACAGACTGCAACTCTGGGTCCCTGAGCTAGACCTTTAACCCCCGATTGCTCCCCCGGCGCCCCACGATGGCAGCCCACTACTCCCCTAGTGGATGGGTTAAATGCAGAGGTAAATTCCTCCAATGTGAGTTCAATAAAGTTTCTATTATTATTATTTTCACAAAAAGATGATCAATATTAACACAGGAAATGCAAGTAGGAAGCAGTACGCCACAAAAGATCTTCCTTAAAACAATTATTTAAAAAAGGTTCCTGTCAGAATAAATAGCTTTACATTAAAGTTAATTGCAAAATGTTCTCTTTTCCACTGCCTTTCTTCTTTAGGGCATTAAATACTTTACATGCATTGTTCTCTGTGTGTTTTTCATACAGGAATACCACTGGCTGCGCACCGCCTCCAATGATGTAAATCATCAAGTTTCCATTGTAAATATAATGATGTGCCTATAAACAGCTGGGACTATTTCTGAGCTGGAAGTTGTTTTCTCCTGATGTTGTCTTAAAAGGCTGATTTCTGTTTTCCTCCAACCTAATTTCATCCTTTCACCCTGATTGGCTGATTTGAATTTTTAAACAGCGTTTCCTCCTCCCCTTTTTACTCCACGCGCGCAGGATGTACTCTCATCTCTTCCCTTCATATCCTTCCTTCTTCCAAAATCAACCAGATGGTGAGACAAGCGCAGAGAGAGACAGACAGCAGCAGCAGGCGGAAAGCCCTCCGAATGACACAACGGCCTCGCGCTCTCACACTCTCTCTCTCTCTCCTCCTCTCAGTGTATAAAGACCTCATTGTGTCCTCTTGGATGTGGAAAATGTTGGAGGAACGTTGGAAATTTAACAAAGAGCATCCACAGGCCAGGGTGAGGGTGACAAAAGTCTCTAAAACAGCCTGTATTCACTTAGTGTTTATGTTCAGAAGTCTTTATCAGGGATTCCTGAAGTGACTGGGATGACTGCAGAGTGCTTGCAGAGCTCTGAAGGACGCTTGCATTAACTGTATCTGTGGCTATGAAGGGTTTCTGGAGGGACTGTGTTTGTGAGAAAAGATGAGGCTAGCTGAAACTCCTACTAAGGTGCTTCAGGTTTCTTTAAGCATCCTTCAGTCTACCTGAAACACAGCCTGGATACAGTCTACAGGCAAACATAGCCTCATGATATCCCTTTATTTCAGAAAATGAAACAAGGATCGACCCAGGGGGAAAACTTTTATATAAATTTGATATAAACTGAAAGCTTCAATAATTTAAGTCTCACTCTGAAACGTTATTTCTAACACAACCGTAGTAAAACTTTACATAAGCTGAACCATTTAGCCAAAAATGACAAGAGTAGTGAATTAACACTGAGTATTTCCATTTGTTGCGCTGACAGCAACAAATGTTCGTCAGAAAACCGGAGAGTCATCGGTTTAAGCAGCTCAGACCATCTTAGTTGTTGTGTCACCTGCACTGGCTGCTGATGGTGAACAAAGGGCCAGGTGGTGCATTTATACAGCGGTCAGTCAGTTCTCCACTGATTCAGCCTCAGTTTCAATGCAGCTCACTACTGTTAATGATTAACACTAGTGTGTGGTGTTCATCTATGACACTTCAAACTCATTTTAGATCATTTTAATCCTGATAAGTGTTAAATTACACCTATTCAGAGTGCTGTTCAAGCTCTGGCAACTTTACCCCAAGGGAGTTGAACTTCCACTTCTAAATTTACTGTGTAGGTGACAGCATGTACTGGGAGTTTGTGGAACCATATTTAAAAGCAGAGTCCATGTTAAGAAACAAAGCCATTTGAATGGTTCTGCTTTATTAGATGAGCTTTATTGATCTCACAGCAGAGAAATTCACTTTTTTTTTTTTCTTTTTTTTTTTTAGATTAGATTAGATTTAAATTTATGTTTAATTTGATGAAGGACCATCATATTTTATGGTTATCTGTGAATTTAAAAAAAAAAGTCATCAAAACAGATAATATATTTGTTTTGTTTTTTTGTTTTGTTTTTTGGTGGGGGGATTTTTGCTTTATATTACAATTTTTTTTTAGGTTCTATGGCTCTATTTTTGTATTTCTCAAAGATAAGCAGACAGGAAATGGGATTAGAGAGAGGGGAAAACATCTGGCAAATGTCACCCGGCCGGTGAAAGCCACATGGAGGACCAAAGCCTCTGAACATGGATCACTCGCTTAACTCCTCCACTGCCGCAGCCCATAAATCTGTTTGGTTTTTAACACAGTTAAAGACACTATTCATTCAATGCTAAAGTTACATTTTTTTGCCCAACTTAAAAAAAGAATTACTCCAAAAACAAGCTGAAAGCCCAACAGCAAATACATTTCTATCTATTTTGCAAATAGCTAACTAGATCTGCATTAACAATTTGAACTATTCTTCCTCTTAAAAAATATAAAGTTTAAATTGGCTTCTATTTAACACAGAACAGGTTTTTTTTTTTTTTTGAAAATATTAACTTTTTGGTCCATTTTATTAGCTTTTTATGGCTAGCATGGTGCTGCCAAACAGAAAAATAAATAAGCCACCTAATACAATTTTTATTTCCAATGCAAAGAGCTTTAATTTTTTCTTCAGAATAGAAAGAAAAATAAATCAAAAGTTCAACGCCAGTAAACTAACACCTCGTATCTCAGCCGTCATCCTGCCGTTTTGTGAACTCAGTTTACATTTTCTGTAAAACGTTGCTGATATTAACACTTGCCTTCACATCCTGCTCCAGCGTCCTAATCAGCTCTCCATCCACCTGCCCCGTCTGAGCCACGCGGAGAGAGCGCCGCTCTGCCTTCCTCAAGCGGTACTGCAGGATACGGCAGGTTTTATTTGCCTGACCGGAAAAAAACAAATAAGGTTATCAGACATTTTTCTAAGCCATTTAGATGCAGTCAACAAAACATTATGCAAAATGACACTAAATCTGTTACCTTTACTGAAACAAACTGCTCAGAACACACCTGTTTACAGTGTTAATTGATAAATTTGTGCACATTTATAAAATGCAGCCAATTGAATGGATTTGTTTGGCATTGGCCTATTAGAGGGATACTAGATTTCCAGTTTTGAATAAATTCTGTTTTTATACCACTAAAGTTGAATGATTTGTTTATTTTATAAGCTGCTTTAAGTTGAAGTGTCGATATAAAACAAAATGCAAATCACTGGATATTTAGATGCAATCAATGAAATGCTGTTTATCTGAGCTAAGCAGAATATTGTTAATGAATAATCTTTAACACAACTTCTTCTATTTGACTACATAAAAACAACATGAGCAGTCAGCTGACTAATAAAGAGACATTTAGTAATAATTGGGAGCATTTCTGTAAGTGTAAGGACATAATGTTGCCAGAGTTAAAACAGTGTTTCGATGTTTAAGTATTATAAAATGAAAGGCTGACGCCACTTTGAAGGAAAGCCTGGGGATCATTTTGTTAAACTAATCTTTCCCCGGCATCAAAAAGCTCCTATCAGACAACTGATGACCCTTTGTCTCGCTTTAAACCATGCACCAGATTTTCCTTTTGAAGTTTCCAGCCGACATTGCAGAGCAAATAACAGCCGTCTGCGTCTTACCTGCTCCAGCTGTTGGCGCAGTTCCTGCAGCTGGTAGACATCGTCCTCCATGTACATGTCCCTCATTTCCAGCATCTCAGACCTCAACTCCTCCATCTCATCCTGGAGCGTGAAAAAAAAGGGGGGGAGTTAAAAAAAGCGAGGCCTGTTTTCATTGGAATTCCAGTCAGATGCTTTTAACTGCATATTCGATGGTAATAGACTGTGCAGAGTGGACCGCAGTTACAAGGTGAGAACATTACATTGACATAAAGAGAATCCTTCAACATTTATGAAGGGCTATTAAAACCTCCTACCACTAAGGTGAGGCAATAATCGGAAAATATCATCCCATTGACCTTATTATCAATATAACCTCAAAGACCAGAGCTTGTGCCTGGAACCTCTTATTATCTCCTCATCAGGCTAATAACTGCTTAATAATTAAATTTGTGTGAGACAAACTCTATGGGACATGAAAAAAACATCAGGAAGGGATCCAATGTAACTTTGCAACAAGGATCAGTTACTCATTTCAACCCAGAAGAATAAATTGCCTCATCTCTGAATCACATTTTAGGGTGCAGTTCTTCAGTAGTGTCGTGGGCGTGTGTGCAGAAGAGGTTTGGCTCGCTCGTCTTGATGCGAAAGCAGGATGGGTGGGACACCATAGAACGACTCGGAGACTAGAAGGCACGCGTTGGCTAAAACCTCTGCATGCAAGCACATGAGCGAGGATAATAGGACAGCAGGAGGGAATGGGATGCAGAAGGAGTTGTAGTAGTACTGACACCATTTACTAGAGTGGATAATTTGGGTCAGCTCCTGCAGAGCTGCTGCTGTAGCAACAACAAGCTCTGGGGATGTGTGGCGTGTGCGTGGAATATGGAATGAGTTTAAGTGGGTTCAGCAGTAGGTAAGGCTGGCATCATAGAAGTACTTTAATAAAAGGAAGATTTTGAATCTTTTCCATTGTATCTCGATGTTTATCTTAAATTATGCAATACTTTCAGAAACAAAATTTGGAAGCAGATCGAGAGGAGGGACTAATAATTGCTGCACCTCTTTGTTCCCGAAACAGAATAAGCTTTTTACAAATGTTTTCAATCCAACAGTTTAAAAATGCATTTTTTAATAGTTGGGTGTGCGTTCTGGTGTTAATGTTTGTATGTTTTTATCATAGAAGAACACAGAAGGAGAGTATCTTTAACTTTCTGGGATCATATTGCAGCATAGTGTCTGATAGGGATGTGATGAAAGACGTCTGCTGATGAAACTCAGATAACAGCAGCAGGAAGCTTTCAGCTCTTCAAGAAGCACATGTGCAAATGTTTAATACAGGGAGTCAGGGTATGATTGCAGAAAGGAAGGAGGGAGTAGAGCAAATGAAATAATTGAGTAAAATAAAGAGAAAATCCAACAAGATTAACAAACAGACACACAAATGGGTAAAAACAAATCCCACTCTAAGCTTGTTGACCTAACGAGCGTAAAGATGATGAAACAAGACAGAGAAAAAGAGGCAAAGAAAGGACAGGAAACCAGGGAATCACAAGTTAATGTGGCAGCAGAGAGAGTTAGCTCCACTGACCTGCTTTCTACAGCTAAGTAAGAAAGAAAAGGAAAGATTGTCTCCGTCATGTGAGCCAGTCAGGAGAAGAAATCAACCAATCAGCTGTCAGCTCCAAGGATCAGATGGTTAAATTATGCAAAATGATTGATATTTTCTTTTCTTTTTTAAACTGCACAGATGCAGCATACAGGGAAGGATATAACATAATAGAAACAAGAAGATCTAAATTAGAAATAGGTGAAAAAAGTTCTTCAGAGGTCACAAAACTGGTGAACAGGCTGCATATGTGTGTAGTTAAATATCTGCTTAAACTTAGACGTTCAGTAAACTAACAAGCCAACGAACATTGTATCTCTGCAGGAGCAAACCACACTTTGCTAAAATGAAATAGGCTCATGATTTTGGAAATGATCAGTGATTTAAGAGGTTTCATCATTTTTTTTACTGTTAGGAAGTCATTCAGATTTTCCTGTTAAGGTGAATCACTCAGCCTTTTCCAGAAGTGATGCATGACAGATAAGTGAGGTAGAAAGAATCTCTCCCATGACAGAAGGACTGATAACCGAGGCTACTACTTGCTTCACACGTCTAAGTTTGAGGACTCCAGTTCTTTAAATGTGAAAAGAAACAAGAGTTTCAGGAAATGCAGGAAAACACAAACTGATCATGTAAATCTTAGCAAACTGCGGCCCATTTTAACATCACAACAAGATTTTTCATCTTTTTCTTTTGAGAATATCCTCTTTCTAATCCTAATCTATCTTCTTTAACTTCTATCCTCAAACAGTATTAGTTCTGTTAGAGGATTTGTGTGCATTTTTTTTTGTCCTTGACTTCTGATACACTATATTGCCAAAAGTATTTGCTCACCTGCCTTGACTCACATATGAGCTTAAGTGACATCCCGTTCCTAATCCATAGGGTTCAATATGACGTCGGTCCACCCTTTGCAGCTAGAACAGCTTCAACTCTTCTGGGAAGGCTGTCCACAAGGTTTAGGAGTGTGTTTATGGGAATTTTTGACCATTCTTCCAGAAGCGCATTTGTGAGGTCGCACACTGATGTTGGACGAGAAGGCCTGGCTCTCAGTCTCCGCTCTAATTCATCCCAAAGGTGTTCTATCGGGTTGAGGTCAGGACTCTGTGCAGGCCAGTCAAGTTCATCCACACCAGACTCTGTCATCCATGTCTTTATGGACCTTGCTTTGTGCACTGGTGCACAGTCATGTTGGAAGAGGAAGGGGCCAGCTCCAAACTGTTCCCACAAAGTTGGGAGCATGGAATTGTCCAAAATGTCTTGGTATGCTGAAGCATTCAGAGTTCCTTTCACTGGAACTAAGGGGCCAAGCCCAGCTCCTGAAAAACAACCCCACACCATAATCCCCCCTCCACCAAACTTTACACTTGGCACAATGCAGTCAGACAAGTACCGTTCTCCTGGCAACCGCCAAACCCAGACCCGTCCATCAGATTGCCAGATGGAGAAGCGCGATTCGTCACTCCAGAGAACGCGTCTCCACTGCTCTAGAGTCCAGTGGCGGCGTGCTTTACACCACCGCATCCGACGCTTTGCATTGCACTTGGTGATGTATGGCTTGGATGCAGCTGCTCGACCATGGAAACCCATTCCATGAAGCTCTCTGCGCACTGTTCTTGAGCTAATCTGAAGGCCACATGAAGTTTGGAGGTCTGTAGTGATTGACTCTGCAGAAAGTTGGCGACCTCTTCGCACTATGCGCGTCAGCATCCGCTGACCCCGCTCCGTCAGTTTACGTGGCCTACCACTTCGTGGCTGAGTTGCTGTCGTTCCCAAACACTTCCATTTTCTTATAATACAGCTGACAGTTGACTGTGGAATATTTAGGAGCGAGGAAATTTCACGACTGGATTTGTTGCACAGGTGGCATCCTATCACAGTTCCACGCTGGAATTCACTGAGCTCCTGAGAGCGACCCATTCTTTCACAAATGTTTGTAAAAACAGTCTGCATGCCTAGGTGCTTGAATTTATACACCTGTGGCCATGGAAGTGATTGGAACACCTGATTCCAATAATTTGGATGGGTGAGCAAATACTTTTGGCAATATAGTGTATATCCTGAGTTATAGGTAGAGGGATAAAACCATTAACTAGATTAATGGTAATCAATAGATTTGTGAAATAATCATCAACTGTAAATCGAATGGAATTGCAGACTTTAATACTGGTCTCTACAATAATATAAAACATTTTTCATTCAACATTAAAAATGTTTTATATTTATATATTATTAAATTATGTGGTATATATTACAGCTTTGCTATTCACAGTCCATTTAAAAAGAGCAGTTAAGCTGTTTTTTTTAATAATTAATCAATTAGTAAAATAATCCACAGCTGCAGCTCTTTATAGGTATATTTAGGGGATTTTTTTTATTTTCAAAGAAGAAACAAACCATCCTCTTTTTAAGAAACATGAAATATGTTGCCTGTAATGAATGACGTATAATGGCGTAAATTTAGTTCTGACCTATTTCTCATCCATAAAAGCTTCACTGATGCTTTGTAAATGTTGTAAATGATGTTTGTAAACATCAGACGAGCACAGGACAGACATTTTTCAAGAATTAAATCAAAGCCGGGGACAAAATCTTCTTTAATGTCTATACTTGTACCTGAAAGCAAAACACTCTAAATTTAACAGAGCCATAGATGGACAGTATGCACAGCCAGTAGTACTTCTCCCCAAACCGTAACCACAGATTTTTAGACAGAAATTAAACAAGCTGGGGTTCCAAGTCTTCACTTAGGAGACTTTCAACAGCTGACAGCTGTTTATAGGAGACTTACCAACTGAAAGTTAAACAGATGCAGACAGACAGGCTAGAGCCTTAAAATGTCAACCAAACAATGACAATGAGTGGAAAACGAGGCTTTATGGTGATTTAGATTTAGAATAAGGATTGAGTCCAAGTCTGGTAATCTGATGCTTAAACATTCGGCTGTTTAGATCTTTCACCAGGCGTTTCTCACAGCTGCAACAACAGATTAGCTTCACTTCCCAGGAGGCTTTGCTGCAGTTCAAATAGGTAGATCTGCCACAGTAAAACAGCAGCATTCAGAGGACGGTGCGTCAAAGTAAGAGAGAAAAACTTTTGTCTTTTCACACATTAGTGATTTACTTTTTTCTAACTTTAATTATAAAAAGCAACCTAAAGCCTTACAACAGATAAATGTCGAAATAATGATCATTGTTATTACATTTCAGGAATGGCTTTTAACGTATTTCTAAAACATGCATTGACTAAACACTGCAGTCAGGGAAAAACTGTTTGGAAAAACAAAAAGATGAGGAAACAACTGAGAGTCTCGCTCCAGGATTCCCTGGGTTTGACACAGAGCCAAGTGTTCCTCATCAGTCACTGTTCCCAATCAATCTCTGACAATTACTGTGCTTGTCTGGTCAGACCCAGTCAGAGCTCCGGGGCATGTTCCCTAATTGATCTTTCCTTTAATCAGTCAATCTCCAGGTAGGATTGACCAGTGGATTGCTTTTTAATGGCTGCGGGCAGTCTGTAGGACCCAAAACAGTCTTTATTTATTAAAAACTGATAATTTCTACATATTTGTCTATTATAATGTATGCATATAAGCAATGCAGTGTTAAGGTAAAATGTTTTTGGTTAGGTTAGTCCACAGTATTTGGTTTATAGTTACATTTTTTCAGTAGCTTAAAAGGCATAATCTTAAATGTGTAAAACAGCAATTTTCTCATAACGACAAACAAAATAAATGCTGCTTTCTGTATCTCTTCTTATGAATCGTGTATTGAGAGCTTCCTTCTGAACAGAAATGGTAGCAGTATTGACAGAGCCACTAGTGAAAGTAATTTGGCTATATGGGCAGGGTTGGTTTAGATATCAAAATAACTAAACTAACTAACAAAAATAACTATAAAACGACTCAACCGAGCATTGAGGCAAAGAATACTGCTGGGTTAAATGGGTGTATGTGACATGTTTTGGTTTGAACATCAAAAATCCAATGGAAATCCACTTTTTTTAATTACCATAAGGATTTATTAAAATTGATTAAACTATTTTTCCACCATTTTATGAATCCAAAACAAATGGATCACATTCAAGGAGTCATAACTGCAAATGGTGCAACTTTTACAATGATTTCAACACAACCGCCATACTGGATATTCAACTAAGGTTCTGCTGTGTTACCAGACTTTAACAGCTGGATCTTCAACTAGGGTGTGCGTTTTTATTTTATTGCTTATCAGGAAGCCAGAAAATACAACTTCCAAGTACAAAGAGAACATACAGGTAATTCAGCCTTTTGCCTGCATATCCACTGCAAAAAGAAAAGGCTATAAGAGAGAGAGGATGGGAAGCAGAGTGGAGGGTGGCACAAAATCAGCTCTAAAAAGGGTCTCTAAGGACAAGTGCTCTCATACTGTACAGTACAGCTCAAATGTTTCACATCCTTATGCACTATAAGATGAAACAAAAAAACCTGTAACAATCCAGTTAATTAATAGTTAATAAACATGATATAGAGTCGTTTTTGTTAGGTTTTAGTCACAACAACCTAATCGTCCTTGAAATGCACAGAAGAGGTTCCCAAAACAATCTTCAGATGAGGAAAAAACTGAATAATCCAAATTCACGCGTGCAGCTATTGCTGCATAGTGGGAAAAACCAATACCTGGGATTGGATAATATAGCTGACTTAATAAGTAAAAGAAATAGGAAAATGAAGTACTTACTTTGAGGTAATCGTTTTCAGATCTGAGCTCTTCTATTTCCCTGAGGTATTCCTCATGCATGCCATCAGTGAACTCTGTGAGGTCTGAGAAAGCCAGGGATGTGCTGGCAGGAACCCTGCTGTCCATCGAGGTGACCGACCTCTCCTCGCCGGGTGAGATGCTCTCCTCCCCGGCCTCCATGCTCAGACACAGTCGGTCCTTGTCGTCTCTGGAGCAGCTGCTCTGAGCGGCTCTGTCCCTGAGCGGCTGCTCTCCTTCTGGACCTCTGCTGCTCCTGGACTCCGCGTCGCTGCTCGCAGCATCCGCGGACAGTTTGTTTTCCTCGGACGCGCAGTCGGAAAGCTCGGAGCTGCTGTCTGTGGGGGACAGCTTCCCTGCGGCGCAGCCGGAGTCTTTGGAGAGGTCTTCGGATCCCGTGCTGGCGTCCGACACTTTCCTCCGACCGCTGCCGCTTTTCGCCGCTTTGAAAGCCGAAGTCTTGGAGAGCGGGGAGGATTTTCCTGCCGGCTTACCGCCCCCCCTCTCGGCTTTGCCGTCCTTCCCAGTGAGGCTACCCACGGGACTCCGCCTGGAAACGCGGCTGCCCAGATGGATGGCTCCGGGTTTGACGCTCAGCGAGGCGGACCCGATCCCTCCGCGGATCTTCGTTAGCGACCATCCGGGTACATCCTTCGGTCTCGCCGGAGAGGGTGCCCGGTTTACCTTCTTCTTGTCGCCGGTGTGAGCGCGCTGCGCCGCGGGGAGCGCAGCCGCTTCAGCCCGGGGTGACTGCTGCTGCTGCTGCTGCTGCGCCTCCGTCCCGCCGCTTTCCATCTTCTGCCGGAGATGGAGTCTCCGTTCCTTGGGCGAGGCGAAGGCGAGGTGAGTCGGAGAATTATGGACATCAACCTCCTTTGTTTTGGTCATTCATTCCGTTTAGGACGACACAAAAAACGCAGAAATGAAGCGCCTCCTCTGCGCTGAAAGAGGGAGGCAGAAGTTGGACAAAACCGCAGCGCGAAACAAAAGGAGATGAGTCCTTTGCAATAATGAGAGATAATGCCGATCAGCAGGAAGAAGCGGATCAGGATGAGTCCAAAAACTAAAAAAAAAAAAAATGCAAACCAAAATCCAGGTTATGAAGTAGATTCTGTTGTCCTCTCCTTTCTTTAGGGTTTCCTTGCATGGATAGATCCCACTAACCTGCTCTGTCTGAGAAGGAAGCAGTCAGTGAGCTGCTACGGTCACTATCTCTCTCCCCCCCTTCTCCTTCTCTCCGCCCAGAAAAAAACCCCTGATGGTTAGTCTCATTTCTGAAGCTCTGCCGCCACCACTATGAGAAGATCACTAAGAGCAGAAAAAAAAAATGTTGAGTCCTGGACAAAGAAACAAAAAGATGCAGTTACATTTCAATGATGCAGCCAATGTTTGGTCCACTTGCACAGCCTGAGCACTTGTTGGATTCAAATGACTTGGAGGATGAAGCAACAGCATAAAAAAAATGTCTAAATCATATTGCTATATATTCAGATGTCATAGTTTAATACAACACATATAAAAAACCATTGATCCAGATAATTTAAGCGGATTTATATGCATAAAACCTGACACAGGACAGGAGCACCCAGTTTTCAAAGCGAAACAGACAGTGGGATAATTCAAAGCATTTATTTAAACATAGTGGACTGTGGATCTGTGGAAACCGCAGATAGAGGATCTGTAACTGGAAACTGTTGGCGAAAAGCACAGGTTAGTGACCAGGACAATCTGATGGAGGATAATCATCCATTTGAGTCACTGACTTGGTTTAACAGTTCAGTCCATCCAGGTAGAACCAGGTAGGATCCAGCCGGTTGGCTGCCAACAAGATGCGGCCGCCCAGAGTGTCCCAAATATTGCAGACCCAGAGAACACGCAGGAGTCCGAGCCAGGCCAGGGAAATGGATCAGAACAGTAACAGGCTGGTTCAGGGTATAGGACTCCACATACAGTTCAGGCAGACCGTTCGGACGCGAACAGGCAGGCTCAGTGGCTGAGAGGCAGAACAGGTCAGGATCAGTAAACCAGAAACACTATAGTACGCTAAAAACAGCTTTCTCCACTGGCCAGTGAAAAAGAGATAATCTGGCCCTGATAGCTGGATGCAAGAACCTTAAAGGAATAGTACACCCAAAACATGATTAGCCTTCATTTTCTACTCACCCCCATGCTGAACAACACTCTGGAGTACTTTTTTGATATCTCAAATGCATCTGGAGATCTGGGAGGCTTCTTGCTGTCTGCTGACATTCAAATAATGGAGGTCTATGGTGCCCGAGGCAGAAAGGTCCATAAAAGTCCACAAAAAACGTGTCAATATTCCTCCATACTGCTCGTCCAATGTATTCCAAGTGTCCTGAGTGGGTAGCGTCCATAATTTACTCGAAACAAAGTCATTTAGAATGTTTTTAGAGCATAAACAGTAGTGTATAGGATTTTCTAAAAGCGCGTTCACTAGTCTACAGAAACCGCGGCAGACCAAACCAGATGAAAGTGCGCATTCAGCGTCTGCTCTGCCGATAATGCAAGCGTAGAAGAAGAAATGTGCTGTTTACCTGTCAAAGAAAGAAACAATGAAAGAAAAATGTCTGAGGACTTCAGTGTTGAGGAAGAGCATGAGTTATTTGCCGAGCTGAATGCGCACTTTCATCTGGTTTTGTCTGCTGCGGTTTCCGTAGTCTCGTGAATGCGCTTTTAGGAAATCCTATACACTACTGTTTATGCTCTAAAAACATTCTAAATGACTTTGTTTCGAGTAAATTATGGACGCTACCCACTCAGGACACTTGGAATACATTGGACGAGCAGTATGGAGGAATATTGAAACGTTTTTTGTGGACTTTTATGGACCTTTCTGTCTCGGTCACCATAGACCTCAATTATTTGAATGTCAGCAGACAGCAAGAAGCCTCCCAGATCTCCAGATGCATTTGAGATATCAAAAAAGTACTCCAGAGTGTTGTTCAGCATGGGGGTGAGTAGAAAATGAAGGCTAATCATGTTTTGGGTGTACTATTCCTTTAACTAGAGGCAGAAGCAGGTGGATAAGATAAGTGATAAGGAGCAACCGGGCAGAGTTAGACAGGTGAATGGAAAAAGCAATTAAGCCAGCCATCAGTGCCAAGATCTTTACATACTACAGTCATGGTTATGTTACATCTCTATAAGCTTGAACTATGCGTAGATGTATAGATTGGATGAAGGCTTTTAGGACTCACCTATAGGAGAAATCCAATAGAAAATAGCTTAACTACCAACTTCTGTCAATGTTGGAGATTTGTATCATCTAAATGCTTTCATGCTAAATTATGTCATTCTCAGTCATCTAGAGAGAAGCAAATGCCTAAAGAGAGGAAGAACTGTCTTCTTCTCTCGTTTTCTAATGGCTACACTTGTGTGAAAATATTAGCCTTATCACGTTAGCCTGAATAATCACAGCAATAGTGCCATAAATGCAACTAATGGCTCCATAGACTGCTGGAGACAAGAGGGAGAAGATGGATGGATGGATGGATGGATGGATGGATGGATGGATGGATGGATGGATGGATGGATGGATGGATGGATGGATGGATGGATGGATGGATGGATGGATGGATTATCCACTTGAAATAAGTTAATGGACTTTAATTTCTTATTCTAAACATAAATTATATTATTTCCATTCAATTTCTAACCTACCTGCTCAAATCAATGGAAAATACCCTGGCAGACGCATCAGTTCTTGATACAACCATTTTGGCTTGGAGTCCTGGCCTAAAGACCTTTGGTCTCACACCTCTCTCTTAACACCCTTTTATTTTAGCACAAGAATAAGAATATTCAAAATAAAGAAAGCATTTTTGAAAGCTTTTTAAAACATACATTAAGAATGACATTTGATAATAACCGATGGCAACAACAGCTACTATCTAGTAGCAGTAATAGCTAATGAGTGTTTCACTTCTTGTTTGCTGTTATAGAGGAATTTATCCCAATTCCTTTTTGCAAGAAGGGGATTTCAAGGATCCTTGAATATCATTTATACCACAATAGGTGCTATAAATCTGTTTTGATACACTAGTTTCAACATCATAATAAAAAACAATAGACCTTATTTTCCAGAACACTCTGGCACAGGAAGACCTTACATCACCCCACAGTGGCCTAAACCAGAGGGAGGTAACCCAGCTAACCAGCCATCAAATACTTTGACAATACAATCAGCATATTTCACTAATTGTGGATGAAAAATCCCCCGATGTGCCTCTCATTGACGTAGTCTCCAGTTTACGGAGTCCAATAGTCCAATTTCTTTTGAGACACAATGTTGCTGTGTTTGCAAGAACTCTTCAGTTCAGTAATTGAATGGCTGTGTAGATGGGTAAAAACATGAGCTCCAGCAGCAAACTGAGGTTCATTCAGTCTGCTGAAATCAGGGGGTAGACATTGTGTGACATATTGCTGCCCTGTTTCTAACTTTGTCAATTTGTTTACATTTCAAAACCATTGAAGGTATTACCTTAACTAAAGATGTCTCAGGCTGAGGTGCTTATTCCTATTGTAGCACTGACATGAACATTTACCCATGCAAGTAATATAACTCTAGTGGGCTAATATGCAAGTTTCTTTTTTAGCAGGAAAGAACTAGAGGTTCATTTCATATAACACAATTATAAGGGGAATCCCTTTTCTCCAATAGTCTGTGTACAATAGGCTTATTTAACCTCTGGGGTTCTCCATGGTTCTGTACTTGGGTAACTCTTATTTTCATTTATATTGTTTATAAATCAAGCATTATTCAGCCTTCATTGGTATCTCTTAATTCTTTATAGCGTATTTCCCTGCACATGAATTTTAAACACAAGTTTACAAAGTCCTGTGTTTTGAGCTTGAAACACCATTTGCAATTTGAACTCAACTCCGGGATAACATGTAAAGCAACTTTCTCGTCTTGTTCTTTCAGTCAAAAAGATCAATGAAGTTTTAGCACATCTTATTTCAAATATCTCAGTTTTATTTTGTATCCTTACTCTATTTTAAATTGAACCTAAAACAAAAAAAATTTCACAAAAACCACCCGGGATCTTTCACAAATCTTTCATTCTTCTCCAGATGTCACAATAAAAGACTGCTTTCCTACTAAATTATCCTCACATCAGTCTTTCTTCATGATTCCTTCAGCCTTAACAACAACGAACATCCCCACAGCATGACGTTCACACCACCATGCTTTAGTGTGGAGACAATGTTCTTTGGTTATAAACCCCTTCCTTCTTCCTCCAAACAAAAGCCACATTTTGTCTGGCCAAAAAGCTCTGTGTTTTAATCTGACCAAATAACCAGTAAGCATAACCGTTTTCCAAACTGTCCTTAGCATACTTTAGCTTGGCTAAATGGAGATTTTTTTCTATAAAGGTGGAATTTATCTTCTCTTTAATCTACGTAGTCCATCTAGTCCATCTATTGAATTTTATTTGTCTCACACTGGAGAAACACTGGAGAAATGTACCTCTGCATTTAACCCATACCCCTTGGGGAGCAGTGTGGGGTTAAGGGTCTTGCTGAGGGACCCAGATTGGAGGCTGTGGGGAATGATCCGGGTACTTGCAACCTTCTCAGAGCACATGCACGCTGCTCTAACAGTTAGGCCAACATTCCCCCTTAGCTAAGTCATTAACTAGTGTTTTGGCAGGTATTCTTGGATCTTTAGACACATCTCTCATCTTTTTCTTTCCATAATTTTTGAAATGTTCACTTCCTCCCCCTGCCAGAATTCTTCTGTACTTTAAACATTGAATCCACTTTCTCATGATTGTAAGAAGTGTGATAACTTTGCATTTCCTTCACCTGCTTTGTGAGCATTGACAATTATTTTTGCTTAAGTCAAAATAAATGTATTTTGATCTTTTCAGCGCGATGCCTCATCAAGCATAGCTGATTTGATAGCTCAAATTCTTCAAACCGCACCCTATGTTTCCACTTGATTGACTGATTGATCACAAACCGTGAGCATTAGAGAGTCAGAGCACATGAATGAACAGGTATTTGTGTTATGGCTCAATGAAAATGTCAGTTCTTGAATGGGGCTGGTAGCTTTGGGGTTTTGTGAAATATATTTTTTTTTACAGAGTAACTTAATGCAAGTATTTAAAATACAGGTAAGAAGTTTGGAAAACTTCTGGGAATTTGTTAATCTGTTTTAGTGCATACAACAATTTCCTTTATATATATATATATATATATATATATATATATATATATATATATATATATATATATATATATATATATATATATATATATATATATATATATATATATATATATATATATATATATATATATATATATATATATATATATATATATATATATATAAGGATTCCTTATATAGATCGACTCAGAATAAATAGTAGGATGCTACACTCTTGGTTAAAACAATGAATTTGACGCTGAATTTGCAGGCTTCAAAAAGTAGATTATCTGCTGTATCACACTTATGATGAGCTACCCTTTAAAGGCTGTATCACATAATCAGGATTTCTGCTTTCTGCCACAAGGATCTGATAACAGAACAGCGTCTCAGCTTGATTGTCATGTCAAAACATCTATTTTTATAAGTGTGCATTAGTAAAATGAATGCAACACAGAACTTTGTTTTCTCTTGGTTATTGTGGCTCTAGTGACCTTTGTTCAATATTAGATGGACAGGAAAGAAGGGCAGAGGGGAGGGAGAGATGTAATAAATGGTTCTGCTTTGGAAATCCAACCAGGGACTATTTGGGTTAGGACTGTAGCCTTTGCATATGATGTGTTGGCTTTGTATGAGCCATTTGGCATCCCATCCCCACTTTATTAGCTGCTCTTCAGCTTCACTTTAACCAGTACATTGACACAGTTTTGTAAAGTTTCTATTTAACAAAAAAAAAATCTTAACAAAGAACTGTAGCGATAAAGTGAGGTAGTTTGGTTGTTTTTATGCAGAATAAGTTCTGAGCTAAATGTAAACTATAATAATGAAATATGGCCAAAGAAAACAAACAAATATGACAATCCTTTACCGCCACCTTGTGTTCGAAAGGAGGAATTGCAACAGAGACCACACGGTTTTGGTGTTGTTAGTTTTTGTAAAGGAAACAACCTTAAAAAAACAAGGAAGGAATCCGATTCAACACACATATGATAAGATCAAATTATTTGCTTAGCCAGAAGTGATTCAATATTTCACTGCAGTTGTTGGAAATGCTTACTGATGTGTTTTATTTTACTGGATAACAATGAAACAGATATGAAGACTGAAGCATGTTTTTTCATTACAGGATGTCAGAAATGACTTTTTTTTAATTGCTGAAGAAAAAAATTACACAAGTAAACTGTAATTAGTTTAATCTGTATTGATTACATCACAAGAGGTTAAAGGTCGCGAAAGCTGATGAGTGGTTATAAAGCAATGAGTGAAGCAATAAATAGTTATTAAATCAAGCGTAGAGTTTTATTTCAATCAAGTTTGTTTTCATGTGGAAAGTTAACCTAAAATAATAAATGAAATTAAAATAATGGAATAAATAAATAAATATTTGTATACATCTTTATAAATGCTCACAGCATAGCTGAGTAGTCATACAATTATTAATGGATTAAATGTATATTTTTTGTTTTTTATTTAGTTTTATCATCTTCTTTGGTCCATTTTTTTAAAGAGTCTGAATCCTCAGTTCAACAACGAGTGTTTCTTTTTTTTTTAGTTTGATCAGTTCAGTACTTTATACTCTGCAAAACATGTTTTTACTGCATTTACTTGTAGAAGGATTTATATTACAATTAAATATTTACAGAATATCTGAATACCTTTCAAATCAACAGCAAATTGATAATGTTTAATTTTTTTAATGGGATTTTATTATAATGCCCTGAGCCTCTGTCCTTGCTAAACAGTGTCTTTGTTTGAGCACAAGCAGGACTCTGTGTCCCACAGAGAAGATTAATAGAAGCTATTTTTTCTTGCAGTGTTCTCCGCCTGCTCCCCTCCTCCTTGCCTGCCCTTTTCTGATCACACTCTGCTCTCCTCATCACACCATTATTTTTATGTAACTCAGAGGCAAACAAGACGCTGCCTTTCTGCCCCATGCTGGCTATTAAAATAGTAAAATAAACTACTCAGTAACCATTTTTCACTTAATTTTGAATTAAAATCTAATTTGGGAAAAATGCAAAAGTTTGAATTAGTGTCATTCTTCCCAGGGACTTAGTTATGTTTACACCTTTTCCTATTTTCTGTTTTACACAATCAAAAAAAGACCTATAAGAACAGAATGACCCAACACTGACCTTGGTGTTTAACAGAACCTCATGCCTGTTTGTGCCTCCGAGGATGCAGTCAGCTGTATCAGACATATCAGTGACTGATAAGCTACATTATTCATGAAAGCAAAAGTATGGCTTAGACGAGGCCTCGTAGACAGGACCTGAATTGAACCCTTTATCTACTGGAAAGGTGGACTAAAGAGCGTCCAAAGTATTTACAACTGTTTAACATTTTCCAATAATTAACTGCAAACCTCAATAAGTTTGATATTGTTCATGTTATTCATAAAAAAATCTGTTTATTACAAATCTTTTTTTTATAGAAGAAAAATAAGTATTTCCTAAGTGAATGCCTTTTCTTGGGGTGGGGTTGTCCTTTTTCTAACATATGTCCGTCTTTCTTTCTTTATCTCCACATCAACCCTTATCAGTCTTCTGTTAGTGCTGAATAATTGTTATGATGAATTCAGAGTGCAGTGCACTATTAGATGTTTTCTATAGGCAAAAAGTAAAGTACTGCTCTCATCTGACTAGAGCACATTCTTTTATATTTTGCTTTGTCCCACTGAATTCTTTGAGGCAAAAAAAGCAGCAATATAGAAAAGAAAAGACATAGTGGCGGAGTAATCATTGTGTCCACAGATTCTCCCTAGTTTATCCAAAGGCATCGTGGCCCCTCTTTGACTTTAACTTCTCCATTCTACTCCTAACAATTTTTATTCCAAGATTTTCACACAAGCAAGACATTTGACTTCAGCTCCACCCTGCTCTTAGGGAGGAGAATATTAAAGTTTATGTTGGTATAACACATGAGCATCCTGGTAAAATATATATAGAATAAAGTTTGTAATTGTAATTTGACAAAGTATAAATGCAAAAATAAATCTATCTATCTATCTATCTATCTATCTATCTATCTATCTATCTATCTATCTATCTATCTATCTATCTATCTATCTATCTATCTATCTATCTATCTATCTATCTATCTATCTATCTATCTATCTATCTATCTATCTATCTATCATTATCTTTCACCTGATTGGCTGAGGGACATGTCAATCAACCGTCCAGTGACGCCCACTGTGCCAGCGGCTTCCGCTTCAGTGTTCAGACAAGGCTACACACAATTCCTGCCCATCTTTCTGAGCTTGCCAACACATTCAGAGCGCAGTCACTGTAGAGGTAAGATGACAGACGTTTTTAACCTTCTGTTTTTGGTCCTTGTGTTTGTTTTTCAGTGGGTAATTTCTCGCTTTGCCTTTTATCTTTGAAGAACGCTACTAACCGTGCTAACTAGCCACCGTTTCTAACGTAGCCTGCCCGCTAACTCCAGCAACGGTAGCTGTCAAAAAAAAAAAAAGCTTCCCGATTTCCACCAGTCAGAATGGCAGCTGGCTGTCTGTTTTTAAAGAAAAAACAACTCTTGCTTCGCTTATTTATTTGCTTAATTTTCCTGTTAAAATAAAGCTGGGGTTTCAGCCTTGCTAGCTAGATCAATTGCACTTTGCGCCAGTATATTTAGCAAATTAAGATATATTTTGGAAAGGCCCCCAGAGTTTATAGACGTGTTTTTATTTTCTGTTTGGTAACTCCTTTGTAAAGTGTTGTTTAGCAGAAAAAAAAAAAAAAAAAACAGAAGTTGTGTCATTGGATATTGTTATCACAATGTGATGCGAAGGAGGTAAAAGTCAAGGAAGCCTTCATGCTGTTTGGTTTCACCCAGGGCAGCGTCTGTTCGTGTTTAAGGTCTTAGTAAATAGTGGGAATGTTCCCCTGCCTGTTTGACTTCTCGTTGCTTTTAGTCACCATCTGCATCTGTCTCACAGCAGGCCTTACCTTTCAACCTGGAGTAGACTGTAGGTCATTGACACCACAAACTCACAGTGATACAGCACTGTTTTTATCTGCCCTCACTAGGACACAAGAGGCAAAGACTGCTGCATCATTGCATTTTGCACAAATTAGAAAAATGCATAAATGCTTACCATCTAAGCCAAAGCATGTTTAATTTCCTATAGACTTATTGTTTTATTATAATACAAACATAATGTAAGATTATGGAGTACACCGGAATAACGTCGACTTTAAAAATCTCTTAAATTAAGTGTATTTACCCTTAATTTGAGTAGATTAATGAGATTTGCCAATGGAATGGGTATTTTTACTCTTAAAATAAGATAATTAGATAATATGCACTTGAAATAGGACAATGCAATTGTGCTTTCTTATTTTAAATGTAAATTTCCTTGTTGCATTGGCAAAATGTCTCTTTTACCACCCGAATCCAAGAACAAATGCACTTATTTTAAGAAAAAAATTACTTAGTGTATAAACAAATATGTTTAGGTCTCTGGAAACCCTATATAGTAATGTTAGAATGAAGAAAAACAAGCTTTCTATTTTACGTTGAACATCAGGGCAATCTCTCTGGAATTACAGTTGCAATCATTTTGTTGTGCGTCTTCCTCCCCAAGGCGCCTTAATTAACTCCATAGTTAGTAACTATGGGGATGGTCTCCATTTGAGAAGGACATTTGTCTTTAGTATCAGCATTCTCAAAACAACAATAATGTAAGGGGCCTTTTTAATTTTCATTTTCTAATATATAAAGGGTGAATGTGCATTGGGATCATTTAGTTGTGAAATGTGTATTTTGTGATCTGTAGTTACATTTAGGGGAACAGGAAGAGTTTGTCGTAATACATGTCCTAAAGGCCTCGTTTCAACATTGCTGTGTGGAGTGTTGTGGTGTTAACAGGAGCACATAGTAGTCACGTGAATTACTCTGTCATTATGTTGTTGCATTTGACTTTGAAATAGCTACAGTCTTTATTTAGAGCCTTATTTGCCACTAGCTAATTTGCAAATGGGTTTTATGCAGGATTTGCTGTGTTGTGCCACATGAGAATAAAGGTGAGCTTGAGGTTATGTTGCTTCTACATGGCAACCCTCCCAGCAACAGGGAGATATTACTGTATGTTTAATTTATGACTGATAAATACAGCCAATCAGGAGCTTCTCTATCTACGCCACTATGTTATCTTACTCCGCTTTTAATGGCTTGTTGTCAAGAGGGAAGGTTGCTGGTCAGCTAAGACAAAATATAAGAACAATGCTTTATCATTAGGCAAACACACTGTAAGTGCTAGCCAATGTTGCGGTAATGGCTACTTTAAATATTGATCTGTTACTCTTTGAAAGCCTTTTTGTTTAATATTTTAACAGTTACACTAGTACAAATCTGGTTTGTGCTTTGGATGCTGAAAATTGGTATTGGATGCATGTTGTTCCGAATCATTAAATTAGATTATCCTTTTATAAACTCTTAATTGTCGATAAAATATAAAAAATAAATTAATAAAAAATAAGCTTCATTGTATCAAGTAGGGCTGAAACAATCAGATGAATCATGATTATTGAAATAATTGTCAACTAATTTAGTAATCAATTAATCGTTAAATGGGGTTTAGAGACTCTAAAACGTGCCTATAGCTGACAGAACAACCCACTTAGAGCAGCAATTATACCAAAATTGTGAAAAAATATTTAAAAATGTTGCATTTAAGATAAAAAAAAAAAAAAGTCTGCCAATATGGTCTATCCAGAATTCTTCAAGTGGAAAAGTTTTAGTTTCACCTGGTTTAATTTCGTAAACATCTTCTTTAAGGAACCTTTGGCCATCAGATCATTAACCGAAAAAAAATAATCGACAGATTAATCGATTTGTAAAATGATCATTAGTTGCTGCCCTAGTATCAAGCTGTTTACACAAAATGAAAACTAAAATTCATACACGATCTAACTGCTTTGACTGATACCAGAAAGCTGACAATGCTGGACAAACAATTTAGTGTGAACATTATCTTGATATTTTTTGGTTTATTTTGATACAGCGAAAATATTTAAAGTAAACCCGTTAACCTAAATGTTGTTTGTAGCGCAAAATGCATCCAAATATAAGAACTGGTCCTGTATGAGGATCTACATATATCCAGTTAATAAGGAACGATCAGTATACATCGATGCAATATGAAAATATCAATATTTTTAACTTTAAACCTTTATTTTGAAATTCACATGGCTAAGCTTAATATTTGATCGAACAGGTGATCTGTTATTATTTTTGGTGGTTTTATTTATAATTATAATTGCATTCTGTTTTAACTATAAATGCCTAAAAGCCTATAAGAGCTTAGAAAGATGACGATCGATCTCAAGAGTGGGCAGTTGAATAAATCATCATGATAGACTTCGTAACATCTTATCAAACAAATTGATATAACATCGTTTTGTGATAAAGCTGGTGGTTTACACCCATAGTAACTGGAAGACAAAGCTAAACACCGCGGTGAGGATAAAAATAATTATGATTAACCAACCTTTTTTTTTTGGCTCTTTTGTTCCTTTACCTTAGAAGCAATGGCCCAACCACTCCCTGTGAGCTTTTATTTAGGTTACTACAATTACACAAGGTGTAGCCTTTAAGGGTGGTTAGGGTCCACCCAAATAACCAAATGTTGTTGACATGCATATCCTTAATGAATGCCTCTAGATACGGTGGCAGAATGGCACGGGAGAATTCACAGGTGGTTTACAATTATTTGAATCCCCAGGTTGTAATTTTCTTTTAAAATTGATTTAGTAAAAGTTTAAATTGTCTCCATATTCTTTTGGGTTCATGGGCCACCGTGTTTCCAACCAAATAAGTGATCAGATTTGTTTGGTTTTGATTTCCCTTTTGTGTTTTCCTTTGTTGACACAGAATTAGCTATTATAATGTGCAATTTATACGTGGTTTTGATGCAAAAAGCTAAGGTATCCAGCTGTTGAATGGAATACTAGAAAATTCAGTCTAATCATTTGTAACTCAAGGGGAGAAAAGGATTTTCTTATCCAAACCATTTGCATACAGCCTTCAAGCTGTGACGTTCCGAGCCTAACTGTGCATCCGTCTCGGTATTGTTGCTTTCAGAGCTGACACATTTTGTTTTATAAAGTTTCAAAGTAAAGCACCAAGCCGGTTTAGCTTCTGGTGACTTTGAAAGTAAAACTCACCCTAGAAGAGTTTCTATTCCAGCAGGTATCACTGGAATGTGCTGTCATACTACATGTTTCATGTACGACAGTGTACGAGGAAAAGATTTAGTTTACTCTGCATCCTCCTTATTGATGCTGTGTGTTAGACCCAGGGTCACATAAGCCTGGTGGAGCAGCATAACTGTTCATACCAGACTGTCCTTAACCACAATCTGTTTAATTTTATTTATTTATTTAACTTCCCTTTCAGATTAATAGAGTATTATTGAATTAAGTGATGTCATTCTGTTAAATTTAAACTCAAATAAATTTAACTAAACTGTAGAATACACCTAAGTATAAACATAAACTTAAAAATAACATGTCTGAGTTCATGAAGTAGGCTAAAATAAGACCAGTTTTACAATGTTCAAGAACAGAAGAGAAGCAGTAACAGGCAAGTTTCTGTCTGGGAAGACTTACAATGCTGATTCTTATGCTTTGTACTCTGTGAATCACTAATATATAATAGATGGAACAGCGATGAACCTTCCCTTAAGTGGTTGACCTGTTAAAAATCAGTCTCAAAGTGCATCAACAGCCTTTTCAGGAGGTCAAGAGAGAACCCACAACAACACTGAAAGCTCTTCAGGCCTCCCTTGCATCAGTTAAAGTCTTTGTTTGTGATTGAGCAATGAGGGACTGGGCAGAGATGGCATGCAGGGACAACTTCCAAGAAGAGAAACCATGCTGACCAAAAATAACACTAAGCCCGTCTCCTATTCCCCAATAAAAACTCACATCTGATTTTTAAGGCTTTGGCTGAAATTCCAGTTATTAAGCTTGTTTTTCGGCACCACACGCAGTAACCAGTGGGATGGCATTCAAAATCCTGATGATAAAGTTTAATCCCTTCACTAATGTATCTTTAGGTGTTAATAATTCATGTAAATGTTCTTTTTGATTGAGAATGTATGCAAATGGATATATTTTTCTTTTTTTATCGCTTTATTACTCATCAAAGACATTATTCACACATTAGGCAAAAGTATTTAGTTACTTTAAATCTCTTTAAGAACCATACCTGCTTCAGTTTGTTCAAGTTTGTTTGTCGAATCTTTCTAAAATACCTGCCCTCTCCACTTAAAAAAAAAAAAAAAAGTAAA